TAGCCCACTTTGGAAAAGAGCGGTAGCCTGGAACCGAAGTCGCCGCGCAAGCGCTTATGGGACTGTTTGGGGGGACGTAAGTAAAACAAAAACATGGCGGAATTTAGCGCGGAATGTAGTAGTGACAGCAAGGTTTTAACAGAGCAAAATAGCGATAAGGTCGAAGTTATCGAAAGAAACAAATCTGACAGCGTAAAGCTAAGAGAAGAAGATGTACCAGGAGCAATTTTACCTCGGGATATACCAGAAGAATGCACCGTGAAACAGCTGCAGCGATGGCTTCTTTGCCGTGGAGCTAAAACAACTGGAAAGAAAATGCAGCTTGTTCAAAGGTAAGAAAGCTTTGAAATTATTCGAGAACTCTTATTATTGCCCCCTGTGCTTTACATTACGATGCTAGTCGACAATTTTCTGAGAACATCGTTAATACGTTCGTGTTTTGTCTATTGTGTTTCAGGGTAAAAGACTATATTGCTGGTGGCCTAAGCTCGAAGATAAAGGACCCTGATGGTGGAATCCATTTGGCTAAAGCTAAGGCAGACCTGGGACTCATGGAAGAAATTAACGCTAAAAAACTCAAAGAAAACTTTCCAGTGGACGGATTTACGGAGGATTTGAATATTTTACGTGCTATATCATTTGGTACAATATGGAGGTACATGATTGAAGAGAGTGATGCTAAGAAGCAATTATCCACAGCAAAACCTCTTGTCAAGGGATACAATTTTTTTAAATCTGGCCATGTCCTTAGCATTAAATGCAGGGAATCTGACGGAAAGTTTTATGTTAAAAGTCAAGTTCTTCCATCAATGAAAAAGACAGTGTTGTATAATTGCTTCATTGTTTTCAACAAAGATGGCAGTGTAGTAACAGCTTATGATGGTTGCCCAGCTGGAGTTGACGGGCATTGCAACCATGTAACTTCAACAATATTTGCACTGGAGGAGTTCTTCAAACAAAGTAAAGCACCTGTAAATCCTTCCTTAACCCCTGCACTTTCTTGCACTTCAAAGCCATGTGCATGGAATGTCTCAAGAAAAAGAAAGATTGACAATCTGCCAATTGCCAAAGCCAAATTTAAAAAACATCAACATGGCAAACTAAGCAAGAGTGAGGATAAATCTCCTCCATCAACAAGGGATGTTAGAGCACCACACCAGCAGTACCCGAATACAAACACTGACATGTATAATTTATTGCACCGTGTCAAGGAGATTGAGAATAAGACAGGCAAGAAAATGGCCTTAAGTCTCATTTTACCGCAGAAAACTTTGGAGGAAAATAAAGAAACGATTTTGGTTGACCATAATTACTGCACACCCTTGACTCACATTGAACCAGTTGAACCAGAACAAGGAAATGGTAGTCCAGTGTCAACTGAACTGTTATCACTAGTGAAATGCCATCCAGTGAGTTTGGAAGAAATAAAGGAAAGGTGCATAAAAGTTAAGAAAAGGCTCTTTGCTGATGAAAAGGATGTTGATCAAATTGAAAAAGAAACCATGGGCCAATCAGTAAATGAAAACTGGAATCTGCATCGAAAAATAAGAATAACTGCATCTAAATGCCATCGAATTGCCACTCTGCAAGCAACTACCTCCCCTACAAAGGCCATTAGTGAAGTCTTACATTACAAGCAGATCCCTCAAACAATTTATATGAAAGAGGGCTTGTCAAGAGAAGGTGCTGTTATTGCAGAATACATCAAATCAAGGAAACTGAACAATCAAAATGTCCTAGTGAAACCATGTGGACTTTTCATCAGCAAATCACATAATTTCTTGGCTGCATCTCCAGATGGCTTAGTATACAATGCCGACTCCACTGAGTCAAGTTCCAGTGGACTTATTGAAATAAATCTTGTCTTCCTAAAGGAGAATGAGACTTTGCATGATGGACTTATCAGAAAAAGAATCTTTCTTCCTGGTTCAACTGATGGACAGCTGGTTATCAACCAGAAACACAAGTATCACTATCAAGTCCAGCAACAGTTGTTTGTTACAGAGAAATCATGAGTGGATCTGGTGATTAAGGGAGTTAAAGAGCTTACAGACAGATCATTTGTGAACCCTTCGAAACGACAAATGTGATAAATAAACCTTAGAAACATCAACATCAACAGAAACAAAACCGGATGTGACCCAGATTTCCTTCTACCCGGAAGTGACAAAGTTTAAATTAAGTCATAGTAAGTAACGACAAGGAAGCGACAAAGTCTATACTGTAGTAACTTAGTGAACATTTAGAGGTAAGAGATATATAGTAACACGAAGATTGTGAAGTAATGTTAATGGAAAAGTGAATAAAGTTATATATTTTCAAAAAAAAAAAAAATCTGTTCTTATCATCGCTTCTCGGCCTTTTGGCTAAGATCAGTGAACGGTGATTGGCCAAATTTGTTTTCGGAAAAGCTCGGGAGCCTTCGTTATTGTTTTTAAAAGGATGGCCGAGGCCAGCGCCCACTTGAGTGGTGTGCGAGATGTAGTTTGTGAAGATCAAAGTTGTGAAAAAAATTCCGCGCCGTCGGCACTTTCGTCCCTTGAATCTGTTGTTGATGTTGATGTTTCTACCGGTAAAAATGTGAGTTACGCTGATGCTGGCCGACCAGAACGTGAAGAACCCGTGGCATATTTTGTAGACGAAGAGAACGAAGTACCGCAGTGACCGTGCACTGCGTTTGTCAACCCGCTAACTCGTTTATCTGCGACCAATGTTTTTGAAGCACTGAAACTTTCTGATGTAGACCCGAAGCAAATTTCCTGTATTCAGCGACAATCGAACGGCGAGATCCAGCTGACCTTTCGGAACGCCAAACAGCGTGAGCTCTTTCTGAAGAAAAATGTGGTCCAAATTCGAGGACAACCGTTTGCCCTTCAAGATGTTGACCGCCCACTTACATATCTGCAGATTTTCGACAGCCCGTACAAGTTACCCGATTCTACCATCATCAATCGTTTGGCCAAATACTGTGACGTTCTTCATCACCGCCGTGGCTATTTTCGTGAACCTGGCTTCGAACATATCCAAGACGGTGTCAGGCATTATCGTGTGCGCATCAAGAATCCCATCCCGAATTTTCTGCGCTTTGGAAAAATACAACTGAACCTGCGTTACGAAGGACAACCCCGTACCTGTCGCCACTGTAAGCAGACCGGCCACTACGCCAATGCCTGTCATAATATTGTGTGTTACAACTGCGAACAACTTGGTCATCTTGCCTCTGACTGCCCCGAACCCCCGATGTGCAACCTTTGCAAATCCACCGATCACAAAGCGAGAGCATGTCAATTTTCATGGGCCAGAGATACCAGAGAAACGAGCGACCCAGAAAGTGAATCTGTGACTGAAAAAACTCCCAAAAAAACCGCTACTGACGATCCTGAAGAACTACCAAAGATCTACAGGGACTGCTCCAGAAATACATCAAAGCCCTTGTGAAGAACACTGACAAGAGGTTTAAGTCATCTCTGCCAGTGCTCAGTGCTTTTTCAGCATTTGA